TTACTTTATTTTTTTCTCGGTAAAGCTCACGTCTCCACAGTGTTGTCTTCTTCAAAGCCTTGAAGGATATAATGGTAAGCAGTTTTTTGTGCTGGACGTTTCAATAACACAAGCAAAAGCATGAAAATCACACGTGATCGAACACTGTGTCTTCGAATCGACTTTTGATGTGGAGTGGTGCACTCATCAAGCATATGCGGCTCTAAGCGGCTGTTCTCACTTAATGGAAGGCATGGAAAAACGGTAAGTCTTTCAAGACTCTGTTGATCATGTGATTACCATTCAGATTTTCATCTCTCTGTTTATGTTACTGAAGGACTTGGCGTAAGAAAATGCGTATCAGTAGACCATTCAAGGCTCCTGAAGAAAACGATACTCCTGAGATATCGGCTTTACCGGAATAAAGAATAAAGTAATACCTCGTTTTTATTCAGCAAGAATCTCGAGAATTCGCAGACTAGCACCCATGCTACCAGAACAATTTGGAAGGAGAAACACACCGTACCTCAAAAGCAGTGGATACTATAAAGACTATTCTCTACTTCATGAAAAGTGCTATCCATCCTTCCTTGTTATTATCACACTCCATGCGGTTAGTTCTACATTATTTATGGTTGTTTATTGTGGACACCACTTGTTTCATTTACTCCTCTCAGTCATACCGGCTCGACTCTTTTCCACTTAAGAAGAAACTCCGGCTTGGCAGACGAGAGGAATAGAAAGATCCATCAGATGGCTATCTTGAATGGGAAACATGTAAGAGACGAAGGAATCGGTAGGGATCTTTCCGGCGTGTTCTTCAGATAAGGAGAATCGAAGATGTTATGATTAGGTACTTCACGTTAATTCATCGAGAAAAAGGCCTTGAAAACTTGGAAATGCTGAACTCAATTATCCATTCTGCTTGAAGCGAACCTCGGTAGTGAGCGTACTGGTAAATAGAGTCGAGAGCTCGTACTTTGTTGCAGAGATTGAGGGAATGTTTTTTTCGTGAGAGATGACGTCTGTTTCTCAACGATAAATGAAGTGCTTACCATGATAAGTGAACTAATGCAATGAGGAGCGTTCTCAGCATCNATCGAAGATGTTATGATTAGGTACTTCACGTTAATTCATCGAGAAAAAGGCCTTGAAAACTTGGAAATGCTGAACTCAAATATCCATTCTGCTTGAAGCGAACCTCGGTAGTGAGCGTACTGGTAAATAGAGTCGAGAACTCGTACTTTGTTGCAGAGATTGAGGGAATGTTTTTTTTCGTGAGAGATGACGTCTGTTTCTCAACGATAAATGAAGTGCTTACCATGATAAGTGAACTAATGCAATGAGGAGCATTCTCAGCATCACATAGGTTGTTCTATAAAAGGAATTGCTGCCGAGCTCCTAGTCAGAGCAGCAAAATCGCTACGATCCGTACGGGTTGGTGAGTGCTTGTGGCCGACTACCTGGAAGTCTCTGGGCCGTCTCTAATGGAACAACAAGGAAAATCCTGCTCATCGGAATTGAGCACATCTGTAAGAAAAAAGATGACGGTTCCGAAACTAGCAGCGTAAGCCATGAACTAAGACATTATTGTCATTAATATTATTGATATTGTCATTAATTATTATTGCTAGTGTAGTTTATAGTGGCTTTTGTTTCATTTAACGACAAAGACGTTTATTTCAACTGGAGAGCTCAATTATTTACTTTCTGCAGGTACTAAAACACTAGACGTAATCATCCATCCATAATCATCCACTAAAGCAGTTCTCGACGATTCGATTACTATTTTTCAATAAATCCTCCACAGGCAGATGGATTTAAGGGGTTTTTCAAATAAGGAGATCATCACCGAAGAGCAGCCATTTATCCCCCCAGTTCGCCCCATGAAATTTTGGCACTAATCTGCTGTAATAATTTTACTACGGAATATGCGTGACATTGAAAAGCTGCCAGCTAAATGAAGAAAACGGCGCCTTATTAGGTTAGCCAAAAATCATATTCAGGAACGAGCTTGCCAAATATCTTTTATCATTTGAGTTGTTTAATTTTTATAGAACTTTTCATTTTTATAAAGTGGCGGGTAGCACAGTGATAGTGATGTCGGTCATCACGAGCATGGTGCTAGTTCGATTCCGCTCCGTGCCAACTAAGCCGCTCATCCTTCTGGGGTCGGGAAATTGGCAGCGGACTTGTCCGGGAAAAAATCCGTAGTTGCAATCCTATTGGGAACACTCCAGCCTGGCTATCTCAGGACTCCAGAGAGAATTGACTCGACCAGCGTTCTACTAGGGAGGAAACGAATCGAATATGGGTTCTGCACAGTAGACGTGAAGACGGATCATAAGAAACAAAAATAAGAAAATAAAATTTTATAAAGCAGACTCGGAACCTTCTGTAAAGTGTAATTAATCCACGTATATTTCTTTCACGGCACTGCTCTTTAGCAAACAGTGTCTTTTTATGCAATCGTACTTTTGGGTACCAGACTTGTCTGGAAGGATAGCCGCACTGGCTCGATACACCGGTAGGCCACCGCGAGACATTGTAAAGGCCAGATATGCATTCAATCACCTCTAACGACACAAAAAATTCGAATGCATGGCTCATCCCTCAGGAATTGATCAACGCCGAAGACTTTATCCTTTTTTTTCAATACTTTTGGATTATAAAGCTAGTAAATGATCGTAGACATCTAAAGTAGGCCCCAAACCGAACTTGCGACCCTGTGATCACAAGTGGCGCCCTCTTGTACTACGTTGTGTGAGTGCATCTGTTCACACGAACTACTTCTTTCTAATTAAACTTTTCCTTAAAATTTAGATAAAGCGAAGTTACCAACAATCTCCATGTGGTTTCGCATATCTCTGTACTGATACAGTACCGTGACCTCATGTTCACCTTGATCTCGTTTTGATTGTTTAATACATATGTGACCATGTGAACTGATACGAATTCACAGGTGCGTGCGCATAGATGACCCCATGCATTGATTTCAATGCACACTTTCAAGAGTATTTTACCACTAGGTGTTTATTTGCTAGAACTTTTTTTCCAATGCAGACATTGCACTTGTCCAGTACATAATCTGTGGAAAATTGTTTTCTGCACTCAATAATTTTCGAAAATAGCTTTTTCACACAAGCTTTTCGCAAGAAATTAGATGCTCTCCCATGAGGACATCACATGAATTAATCGTCTTGCGTATTCGCACTCACTTTCTTCAAATTGAAGCTTTAAATCCTATTAACATTCAAGTCTCGCGAACATCTCTTTCTAAGTAGTCTAATAGTCTAAGGATAAAGCATTCGACGTTGATCAATTCTTAAGGGATGCGCAACGCATTCGACTTCATCAAGCATCGTTGAAGGTGATTGAATTCTTGTTTGGTCTATTCAGTCATTACGACGGTTAACGGATGTATCAAATGCCTCTATCGTCCCAGATAAGTCTGGTACCAGTTTTCTAACCCATAAGGGATGGAAGGCTTGGTGAAACGGAGTGCAAGATCGAAACAACGACAGCTCATGTATCGCTGGGTACCTCTAAGCAATGCGCTACATGCGCTTCAGTATAGTAGTATGAAATAAAAATTTGAACACACGGAATCAGAAAGAATTCGTTTTAATCTTTTAGTTTCTCAGTATTTGTAATAGCTGAAGCTCATAAAGTTCACTGTAGTCCACATAGTAAAGAAACACTAGGGGTCTTGTAGTCTTTCCACTACGGAGTTCTTATTCACGAAATCAGACTTCTAGGACTAATTGTTACCGAATTCAAATCAATGATAACTGAATTGTTTGCTAAAAACCGAACAACTACCGAATCATTTGGGCGATGTAAGCTTAGAAATGAGTTTCCACTTCTCTCCCTTGAGATTTGGAGCTTTTCCTGGAATTCATTCGAATCCTCTTAAAAGTAGAGAGGATAAAAATCTTTCATCCAGAATGACCATTCTAATAAACCATCTAGTGTTTAACAATCTCACAATCCCTGTCAGTAGTTTACAACCACCTAGTGGCGAGGGGATGCTACGAAGTGTTGCGATGTACAACAAGGGATTCACCGCCACTCCATCCCGTGACATTCGTATTTCTGCCTCTTAAGAATAGCCTTAAGTACACATCAAACATCACCATGTGCTGAAAATTACTAGAATGTCCTAAGCGCGCTTTTCATTTGATCAGTGTTTTGCTAGCAGAGAAGTTCTTTTTCCTTGGAGTCGCCAGAAAATCGTGAGTGTTCCTAACACGCCGAATGCTATGGATCGAATGAAGCCTTTGTTGCTTTGCCGCCGCAATTCGTTGCTCGACATGTGTTAACTTTTGGCTAAGTGTTCGGATGATGATTTTGAACCCTTCCCTCAACCCTTTGGTTATCCAGTAAGAGTATGGATGGACCATTTGTGGTACATCGCAGTTTAAACCCAGGGACACTCTATCGCCACGATGAGATGGTAGACGATCTAAAAGCGATCATGGACCAGTTAATGTAGCTTTTGCATTAAGGAGTGCTTGTCGTTGTTTAAATATAATTCTCTCTAATGTTCACAGAAATTGGTGCAATGTTCTACTGTAATTTAACGATTCTCTTTTTTCTGTTATTGTCTATACATAAACATCGCTGACACTTTCACCATTGTCCAACTCCACAAGTGTCATCCAATGAAACTTCTTACGTTGAGAAGCGTCGTGTTTCGACTATGGAGTGTGTGCAACAACAGATGACCACCACGTAGGCCGAAGTCGAGTTGTTTAGCCGTCGTCCACTGAAGCCCGTTTGACAAGCAGCTTTCGAAATTCAATCGCTGAGCGTGGGAGGCTGTCTCTGGTGCCCTGAACCGCCTACAACTCTTTCACCGGAGGCTTTCGATGTAGATCGACCTGCCCGAACTGGGATTTTGATTGATTGTAGGCGTGGCTGCCGAGTCCAACATATGTGTACATCCGTTCCAATGGCCTCGCCCACTTTGCACTTCAACTTCAGATTCCCTGCTATTTCTTAACGCGATTAGGATCATTATGCACTGGTCTGCTACATTTGGCTTTATAGTTTCTACTATTGAAATCACGGTTCGTTTTGGTTTCATTCGATTTTTTGAAAGTCGTATATGAAAGAAAAACAATATATTCCTGAACATAATGATTAGATGGATTTCTCGAGCAAGCTCTTAGGGAAGCATTTAACCAAAACTTAAAGGTGAATTTTTTTTGTAAAATTAAGATCTAAAGGGGTCAAAATAAAAGTTGGAGAAGAATGCACTGTCTTAGGGACTAGCGCGAATTGAGTGCCAACATAGTCCAAGTAGAAAAAGAGTAAGGATTTTAAGCGCTCTTAATCGGAATCATTAAGAAAAACCTGGTGTACTCTTTCTCTTTCTTGGGATCAAAGTCTAAAAGATGTTTTCAGTTGGCCATCCATCAAAATAAGCACCACGGTCACTCGTATCACTCGAAAGTAGCTGCACATCCAGTGAAGGCGTACCAGACTTACTATCCATCGGCACCATCATACCACTACACTAATCAGCCAACCCATCACTACTGCAACATACCTCCAGATCTATGGTTGTTTATCAGTTCGTTTATAGCGATTTTACTCTTAAAAAACAAAAGCAAGGAGTACTGGGGAGGACAGAAGTCTAGGTGTCAGTTCGGTCGACAGGCTCAGCCCTTAGCGGACGTCGTTTCTCATACAAAGTGCTACTTTTGTCTTGGATTCCTTCCAACAAAGCCATGCGGCGCCTCAGAGTCGTAACATTACTTGTTCGCGGGCGGTATGGGGTTGGTTCTGCAGCGAGTTCCAGCCTACCCACAAGACACCTCTCAATTCTGCAAGGAATCTTAGCACCTTCTCTAAGGCTTGTATTTCTATGACAAGCCTTCTACAGCTTACTTATTATAGACCAGGTTGATAGGCTCGCATTCCACCTGGGTTTTGATTTTTTGTTCAGCCTAGAGATTTTCGTGGACATGAATGGAATAATCGGTGATAATTTATCAGCGTGTTTAATCACTCGTTAAATAATGGAGTAAGTTTTCCTTTGAATTCACTCAGAGCGGGAAGTTTGTGGCACCTTTCTTTTACACCGATCTGTCGAGGCAAACTCTATTGCTGTAATATTATATATCGCTCAATAGCTGGCGATTATTCGACAAAAACTTTCCGACTCTTTGATTGCAAGACCTTGGACCTGGTCTGTTTGCAGAGGATAAGGAGGTAAAGTACGGGTTTAACCCTCTGTTTTCACAGGAAACCCGGTCCGAACATTTCTCATAATGTTGAAGAAAAACACGCCTATTATTCACTGAAGAACCTACTGGTTATTCTTTCACAGCCCACGGCCAGTTCAGGAGAAATTTCCGTCTACTGATTTCAAAATGGCTGGAGCTCTATAAGGCTACAAGATGTGGAGCAAGAAAATCTCGTGGAGAAAAGATGGAATAAAATTTGTAAAGTCTCCTTGAACTGGCGAAAGATCAGGACTTATCCAGAGTGATATGGTATTACCTCATCCGAAGTGTGGTAAGCTTCCTGCCAATTTTTATAAACTTAAGAGCGGCCTTCCTAATAGATTACTTTCTATGAGGAGTTCTTTATAATGGTATAAAGTAGTTTCCAAAATTCAGCCACAATGATGCTGAGATATTTGCAAAACTCGGATCCCGCGCCAGATTCGAACTCGTGACTACACACTATCCTGTGATAACTTGCTACCCGCTGCACCACCGAGGTCCTTACTTTGCCTTTCTCACAGCCAGTTTTTATCCTAACGGTGCCGTCAGCAATCACTCGTCCACAGGAATGATCTAGCGAGCAGTTGACCTTGTGATTTCGACTAAAGCTTCAGCTTAACTAGGTTCAATGCCGATTTATGCTGGGCTCTAGAATGGGTAATCTCGCCTTCGATTCTGGTCATGGGCCCGAGTTTTGCAATTATCTCAGCATTACTGTGGTTGAATTCCACATAATACCCTTCCATGAAAAACAATAGGCAGCAAGTGAGAAAGTTGAAGATCGTGAAGTCTAGAAAATTGCTTTAAAAGGGAGGGAACACATTTAGCAAAATGCGCCAAAAGCAATCTTGAATTTCTCAAATAGTGTAAAATGATGTCGCTCCACGGTATCCCTCAAAAGTTACGCTATTGATGATATAACTTCCCTCCCACATGGCCTATTTTCTTAACTCATTTACATCGATCTTCTCTGTTCTTGATGACTTTTAAATGTTTTCTGTCACATGGGAATATCTTTTGCCACTAAAATCATGGAGGGCATGTTCCTATAAGCCCTTAATGAAGTGTCACCGAAAGGGTATCGCCGGAATTCATATATATACTTACTTGATACTTAATACTTGAATGGCCCGTCCTCACGGATTGTGCGGGCCCCAGCATAATCGCCATTGTTCGGAGACTTGCTGGTTAAGCCATTATGGTTCCTGGAGTCCCGAGGTCAGTCTGGCCAAAGTCTGCCTCAGATCTTCACCACCACGGGCAGTCGCAGCCCTTGTGGATCAGAGGGAGATTTACCACCATAGGACTTTGATACCAGGACGGTAGTGGATCCTGGTATTGATCTACTCTTAGCTAGGCTTCCTGATGGAAACGCCGGAGTCCTTCTCAGCTTGGGAGGACCTGCCAGGGGATGAATCCCCCGCTGTACATCGCAGATCGACACCCAGGAACACCTCCCAGCCACGATGAGGCGGTAAACCGTTGGGAGGACATATATTATATGTATATATATATGTATATATACATATACATAAATGGGAGATTGTATATGGAGTTTGACTTTGCTATTTCAGGTGCGACAGTCCTCAGGCGGCTCAACAATGTGGTGTACAACATCAGTGTGACGCGCTGCGCTTTCATAAACGAAAACCTATCAAGCTCACCGTCATCTACGAGGCCCTCTGCCCTTATTGTCAAAAGTAAGTGGTTTTAATCGCTTTCGGAATCTCCACTGTCTCTGTTGCAACTTCTGAAACTCAAGACAACTATTTGAAAGATAACATTATTGGAAAGCTCTTCTTTTCTAGGGAAAACTGAAGGCTTTTTTAACTTCGCTAGTCTCGTACGCATACTTGGTCGTAAATGTCTTGCTTAACTGTCCACTACGAAATCCTTTGTTCATTTGTCAGTCTTGGGCGTTACCTTCTTATTCACGTATTGAGATGCTCTTTTTTCCCAACGTGTGATTTTTGGCACGCCTTTTTTCGAAAAAGAGGACAACAGGCAACCGCTATGATCAATCAGCAAGTTTCGCCAATCTCGTGACACGGTGACTACTTTCGAACATCCCTGCAGGGTTATCTCTGAGCTCCAAGGGCACGAATAATGCAAGGACAAAAAGTGTGGTACCACCTAAATGTATGTTGGTTTTTGGTGTCTTTTCGAAGGCGAACAATTTAGTGTATAACTTTATACTTGATATTGAAAACCTTCTGAAGCAACCTGAGCCTATGGTTCATCACGTGCTGTCGTTCTATTCATCCATGCAGTTTTAGACTGCCAGACAAAACCAGTATCTTATCAGCTTTCGGGGTAATTGTATGGTGGTAGGTAAAACTGAATATTCCTTGATAATTTACTGTTATCGTGTACTGAACTGATGCACCGGTCATTTATTCTCCAGACGCCCAGTATGGTCTTCCAGACTAAAAACGTGTTCGATATTTCCACCTGGTCCGAGCAAAAGTGAACCGATGTCGAGAATTACCGTCACTACTACAGAAATCTAGTGGGAGATTTGTAAATCTCGCTTCGATCACAAGGAGCCAGGGAGTGCAAGTTGTGACGATCCGGGAGAGAGTTATGACACGTCTATAGCGAGGATCCGTGGAAGAACAGTCTTGATCAACCAATGCATTACGACTGAGATGGAAATTGCGCTGAATCCGTCAGAGCCCTTACGATTCTTGCTGAAAAGGGCCATTCAAGTGCTCAAGTAAAAGGAACAAGTCCTAACAATATTAAAACAGTGCTGCTATTTTTTTTATTTAAATGGCTCAAATTCACTTATTGTGCGGATCCTTCCACTTTTTCATTCCATTCTTTATCTCGCATCCATCATCCACGAAGTTCTTCGGATGTGAGTGTGGGATCGGCTGACACTTGAAAGCTCTGTTTTGCTTATGAATGTCGTTGAATGTCGCTCGAGATGGTTCTCTCTAGAATCCTGATAATAGCCCAAGTGTCGAAGAGCGTACCCAGGTCTTTGCCACATTCAATCGTTGGCTTTTGTCGACTAGAGAATCTTTTACAGATATGTGTAGTATCAATTTTCCGATGCTAAAGGATCCGTCGAATCAGGGAGTCCATGTATTGTACTGCATTACGTTTCCTGGGGGAACTATCTATTATGCCGGTCTGTGGAATTTTTTTTGAAGGTACTGGTTTCAGGTTCATCTCAAACCAACTTGGCGGGATGTATCAACAGCACAAGGACCATCTCGAGCTAGAATTGATCCCATGGGGAAACTCTCGGATTCTCAGGGTAAGAGCATTTCTTCTTTTTTGTTGCTGTATGTAATACATGGCGCGTTAAGGAAGTAGCATCTTATATATTCACCTTCATCTCTACATATTGGTGAATTTTGAATCATTCCCAGTACTTTTCCTTGTTCCTTGATCAAGTGTATTCCATACGCTTTTCACTATGTGCGCACACTTTGCGCTCCCGTTGGTTCCTGCACTGCCTATAGGGTCAATTAATTAAGACTGGACAGCTGACTTTTGGTGATTGTCGATAACTCGCGATCAAAAAACCTCCGCCGGCTCCTCGAAATTTCCTCAACTTTTAACGCTGTAATATCAGAGTCATAGAGACATCAAAGGCAAAATTGCCAAAATTCTCCTCTAGGGACCCGTTTCCCGACCGGTGGACTTCATTTTCGAAACAACGGTATGTCATTGGTAAGCAGTCATTAAAATAAACGTGGTAGTTGGCTTAATAGAAGACAATAAAAATAGAATCAATGTGCATTACAAGGCGAAGAACTGTAATATTAAAAAATTGATACGGACCATCAAATTTTGATTGTTACGAGGATGAGTGGTGTTCATGTTCTGAGAATTTTTGTTGCTCAGCATATAAAGCGATATCATAGATGCAATTTTTGGTGTTCAAAATGCTACAGAAAGAAAATAGGGTCAGGAAACCAATAGTTAATTCGATTAGTATAAGAGGAGTGAGCCTCCAAAGCGTTCGTTTGTTGTAATGAGGGATACGATCGGCACAGCAGACGATCTTTGATGCAGCGAAGACGAGTATTAGGACACGAAGTGATGAAAGTACATCTTCTGCAAGATAACTTTCTGAGTGCTGTTCCTGTGCTCAATCCAAGGTGCCTTGCACATCTGGATCATTGGCGTTGACTTTCTAAAACAGTTTTTAAATGAATAAAAACGGGACGAATAAATCCATCCTTCCCCGCCCCCATGGGACATAATTTTGCAGTTATTCCCTTTTTCAATACTCGCTATTTCTAAGCTCTCTAAGATAAGACATCACCTATTCACAACAATAACTTTTCGAGCATTCGCATCGGTTAGATATTCTTGACAAGCGACATTCTCCGTGATTCATGTATTCCTACAAATATAAAGAATGAAGAAATCCGTTAACAAGGAGGAATAGAATTTGCTCTTTAATGTGCATCTCTGACCTTTGGCGGGAATTTCATCCCCATATCTGAATTTCGGGCACGTGTGGCGCAGTGGTCGGAGGCATTCTGCAACACACACGTGGAATCGAACACCGTGCCCATGGCCCACCAAGCCTTCCATCGCTTCGGAGTCGGCAAATTGGTGTCAGACTTGTCTGGGAGGATAGCAGCACTGGCTCGATACATCGTTAGGCCACCGCGAGTCATCCATTATAAAGGCCAGATATGCATTCAGTCACCTTCAAACGATGCTTAATGAAGTAGAATGAATGGCGCATCCCTCAGGGATTAATCAACGCCAAGAGCTTTATCCTCTATCTTTATTTTATCCGAATTTCAATTGAAATCGAAGCACCGAGAGAGTTTAAGAGGATGTCTTTCGGTCTAACGATAGCAATTCAACATGACTAATAAATGTGGACCAATACAAAATGTAACAGGTTGGATACACGGATGACGGCCTTCAACTGTGTGGGCTCTTACACAACTCCCACTTGACATTTTTGTGGTGAGCAAGTTTCTTCTCCTTGGACGACGTCACATCCAAGCAGTCACCAATTCCTCTGGTTGAAGAGAGGTTTACCACTTCCCGACTAGGTTCCTCGCAAGACGGCCGCAATTCCTGGTTTAGATTACTATCGGATTCGATTCTTTATGGAAATGTCGAACTCTTTAGCCTGTGTAAGCTCGTTAATAGGTGAATGAACACCTTGTTCTACATTGCATCGCGCTTCGACACTCAGGAAGTGGCCACTACCCTCGAATTTACAAAATGAGGCAATGAATGTGAATTGGGCACTGGTTAGCGAACTATAGCCGAAAGGTTTTGCATTTCCAGGAGTCGTTATAATCGGATTACTGATCCCTCTTATAAAAGATATGACATTCCTTTTAAATCTGTACAATGGTTGAACACCGATTTTGTCGTGGCTTTGCACCGAAGCGTAAACGAACAAGTTTGTAAGACTTTCACTTCATACCTTTTCAAGCCTAAACATTCAATTAGGTTTTGTAGGTTTTCACAAGAACCGGTATTTATTGCCAAACTCGTGTCGATGGATGCACGAACGTTGCCGACTTGCCATCTCAAGTTCGAGTGATTAATTCTTTGATGCATAAGCAATGTTTACTTAGGAGTACTTCGTCCCTCTCAGTACGATGCCATATTACTTAATCTTCCCGGCCCCCATGGTCGGGTTCTTAGTTTAGGATTCCGGTCTTCGCTTAAATGCGTTGCAAACACAGATTATAGTAATAAGTCTTCAAAAACTAGGCAGCCCGGAACTGCTGTGACATTTCAGCAGTTTCTCCCAACCTATATTATTAAATGCTACGTTATCATGAGATTAACCCCTTCATTGGTGCTTGGTTCATATACCTCTGCACTTTCTTTGTTGTCGCGAATATTATGTATTGGAGGCGACTCGAGACCGCATCTTATTTCTTCGTCAGTTGTTCTAGTCTACAATCATGATGCAGTCCGAATAGGTGATATAAAGCACTGTATACATACATGAATAAGTATACGTACTTATATATCGTATGTCAAACTGGAAAAACGGAGACTAAGAGGTCTATTATTTTAGTCCCATCTATGTCTCCATTCAAGTCCATAGTCCACGTTGAACCCGCTATTCGGTACCTGAACGCGCTGCGTAGCCCTGCGACCAATTCTTCTTCTATAAGAAGGTTTCCTAAAATTTTACTTCTATTTAAGAGTAGTTACTGGTTAGCTGAATTTTGTTATGCTGTTGTCAAGTAGTACTAGATGGGAGAAAACTGGAACCGAGGTGCAACCACGCTTCGATCTTCTAAGATCCAACCCAGTAATAACTTCTCTCGTCTATCATGGGTGCTTTCGTCCGTCGTGCATCGTTGCGTTTGTGACTTCGGTCATGTTTCGTAGGAGTACGGTAGTGATTTCATCTACCCTAACCGAAGGATAAGAGATAATATGAAGTTTTACTCGTCTTTGTACTCCTAGTTACATGTCTAATATCATAGGGAAAACTGTGGATATTTTTGTTTAAAGAAATGAGCGGCCGGCAATCTAATTATGAGGTAAAGAACGTTAATGTAGAAGACTTCTGTCACTAAGTTTGTATTATTTAAGTTTGTATTTTGTATTATTTGTATTATGCCGAAGGAACTCATGTAGCGCAGTGGTTAGAGATGAGCTGCAATACACACGCGGCCTTTATTGAACGTAGAGAGCTTTATCCCTTATTCTTTATTTGTCACTCTTGATAGTTACAAGGTCCTTGTCTCTTTTTAGCAGGCCGAGTGACGAAACATTACTGTTATGACGGTTACAGTAAATATCCTTCTGACGAGTTATGTTTTCCATTGCTTTCCATATCTGCTTCCTTCTCTTTCTATAGGATTTTTCTACACTTGGCACTGACTACCATCATATGGGTTCTTGATGCGTCGCACCATTTGAAACAATTTCCAAACGACTTCATTTCTCTGGCAACCTCTTGGTACTGTTATGTGATAGTTTCAGTTTAAATTTCTTCATTGGACATCCACGATTTATTTGACTGGCTGCTGATATAGTGTGTGGTGATTGAGGCTCTGATGAGGCTCTCGGCGTTGATCAATCCCTGGGGGATGGGCCATGCATCCGACTTCGTCAAGCATCGTTGGAGGTGATTGAATGCATATCTGGCCTTTACGATGACTCGAAGTGGCCCACCGATGTATCAAGCCAGTGCTGCTATTCTCCCAGGCAAGTCTGGTACCAATCTGCCGACCCCGGAAAGATGGAGAGATTGGTGAGCGTGGGGCACGGAGATCGATGCCATGTGTATTGCATGGCGCCTCTGACCACTGCGCTACACATGCCCTATTGTGGTGATTAGTAAGCTTTTTCTGGCATGTTCTGCCAGATCGCTCTTTTTTCATCAGAGCAAGTCACTAATCTTTTTTGAACCGGGCTTACAGATAGCACTTTGCAACTCAGCTCCCTTTGGACTGGCAAAAGACTTCTTGGCATGGGTTTGCCTTTAGCAAAATTTTTAGATGCAAACATTGATTTCCTTAAATGAGTGTGGATGATTTTGCTGGTGCGATGAATGCCTTCCGTACGTTAAATTTAAACATCAACAAAGGGATCACGTGAGATCTTGAGGCAAATCAAGGGAAGCAGTGATAGAGAAGACAATATGAAAAAACGTCGTGAATAATAGTTTGGTTTCTTTCAGGATGGTTCGTTCTCGTGTAATCACGGAAAGAAGGAGTGTGATGCCAATCGACTGCACTCATGCGTGATTGACGTGCTGAAGGTAATATCGTTGCTGCCTTAGGTATTCTTCCTTCTGCACGTTGAGCTCTTCAAGTACTTGAGAAGAAATTCTGTCAGCTTAACACTGAAATAACGTTGAGGTTTCAGTCCTCCGGAGCGCTGCCGTTCATCGTGTGTTTCGAGCGAATTGTTCATCACAACACCGTCGATCAGGCGATGCATTTCTGCTCTGCATTCATTCGCAATCAGTATCGGCAAATAAGGTGCTCATTCTGTAATGAGGAACTCGATTTTACCTTTTTAAGCTCTCAAGTTGTAGAAAATGCTACGATGGTGAAAGGGGCATCCAACTTCAGCGAATGGCCGCACACAAGACAATGACTACGAAACCTCACCCAATTCTCGAGGTGGGACCGTTGCTATGAGTATTGTGCTTTCATTAATAGCAATTCAACAACAGAAAGTAGTGGAGTGCTTAAATGATTGAGTGCGCTGAATATTTATATTGGTGAACATATTAGTTTGGTGCAAAAGTAATGGCATTTGTAATTGACAAACTGTCAACTGTCAAAAAGTTGTCATTGTGAACTCCACAGAAAAGGCCTGGGTTAGGTGTCCTTTTTTGAGGTGCAACATTTGAGAACTGGTTTCTTGCCCAACTTTATAGAGTACAATTATTTGTCTTGTACGTAATTCGCAATGATATCGTGCTCTAACGTCAAGAAAAAAGTATTGTCTTGCTTCAAACAAGTCGAAGAATCCCGTACCAGAGATATGAATCTTGGTGACTAGGTAGAAGGTAGGCACTTATCAACCAGTGACGACGACCAAGGCGGTGGTGAGGCTGATCGTTTAGAAGCTGCTTCAGAACGTGCAAAAAAGTGTAGTGTTAGCCAGTCAATAATCAATCGTCATTAGGGAGACATCGAAAAGGTGAGGAAACTCGATAAATGGTACAGGATGAATTGGTACGAAGAGCAAAGAGATTTTCGGCACGAAGTCCGCTTTGCGCTTTTCTTACTCAACAATAACGAACCATACCTCGACCTTAAAGCGATTTGGGATGAGAATTAGAACGTGTGCTGACTACATACGACGTCCATTTAGTGATTAGGGTAAGACGAAGCTCTTGAACACTTTCGACCGCCAAATTCGCACCATTATAAAACTATGCACAATTTTCTGAATCTCGTTGAAATGACTACGGTAGAGAAGTATTTTTACAAAACCAGTGAAATGTAAGAAGAATTCAACTGTTTCTCCGTATTTTTGTTGAGCAAACGCGAGGTGTTATTATTCTTTATTCACAAATGAGCTGACGTTTCGGCGGATTTCGCCTTCC